GAGGGCCCCACAGGGAAAGGCTGGATTCTGGAGAGGTATTAATGGCAGGTATAAAAGGCAAGAAGAGCATTCTTATCTCCTCACCCTGGCTAAGGCACTGAGAGAAACAGAGGCAAGGTAGGGATGGTAAAGAAGGAAGAGGAAGGGATGAAGGGTCCCCTGGACCCACTAGCTTGGAGAAGACAAAAATGTAGGAGCTGGAGGGGAATGGGGACTGTCACATAAGCCCCGTGACTGTGCAGAGAAGCATCTGAGAAATGGGTACAGCCACGCCTGCGTGTCTGGTCCCCATTATGCTTCCGCACCCTGCTTCAGAGTGGGAGAAAAATAGGTTGCAGGAATCCAGGAGCAGAAGGGCATCGGGTATTTCCCTGAGCCATAAGGTTAGGGGCTAAAGAAATAATAAAGCTGTATGCACGTGGCGATTTCTGTTCTTCCTGACCCTTTTCAGCCCCCTCAGCCTGTAGCTGACCATCCTTCCGCTCGTCCATCTCAGGCAGCAGGAAGAGGGGTCGGCACCGAAGAGGACTCAGGGAGCCTAGAACGCCCATTCCTGCAGTGGAGGGTCCAACGTCCTCCTCCGCTTCCTCCCGTCTCCTTCGCCATGTGACACAGCCCCCTGCCCGTCTCAGATCCGGGAAACTGGACCGGCCACGGGAAGAGGAGCCCGAGGCGGACAGGGCAGGCAAGGCGAGCAGGGCGGGCTGGGATACCGGACGTTCAGGGCCTCGAGCTAACAGGAGCTGGTCTGCAGGTTGCTCTCGGTGAGCAGCGAGGCGATGGATGAGGGGTCGTAGACGCCGTCAAACTCTTCGTCGTCGTCGGAGCTCAGCCCCTCGTGCTTGAGGACTGAGGCGGAGGCGGCCGAGCGGGAGGCTTTGCGCCTGAGCCAAAGAGAGAATGCAGTGAGGGCAGGGAGAAGATGGGGACAGCCACACTTCACACGGAGGAAGCCAACGCCAGGGTCCAGCCCCGCCAGCAGATCCCCATGCGGCAGCGATCGATCTCGCGGATGGCGCACGGCCTGGGTCTGACACAGAAAAGCACGAAGTCCAGCAGGACAAGGGACCTCAGGGCCCTGTCCTAGAGACCCTCTCCCTCATCCAGCAGGCCCGCTTCCTCTAGGCTCCACCGCCTCCCAGGAGGAAGGGCCGGGAGCAGCCCGTACCAGGCGTCCTTCTCCAGGGATTGGATCCGGGCCTGCAGCTGTTCGTTGACCTCATGCTGCTCCTCCAGCTCCCGCTGCGCCTTCTTCCGCAGGCTGTCCAAACGCTCTATTTCCTCTTCCGCCTCATCGACCTGCCGCTTCAAAGCCTTCACCCTCAGGCTCAGCTGGACGGAAAACCAAGTCCCCGTGCTCGTGAGAAAAGCGTCTGCTGCCAGACCGGGACCGCCCGTACTGATTCTGCCAGGGACAACTGCCCGGGGAAAAGCGTTGGGACTACGGGCCTAGCCTCACAAGGCTGTCTTGGGGATTAAACGAACTAAAACATGGATTAACCAGAAAGAAATGAAGCTGGGCACAGTGACACGTGCCGCCTGTAATCCCAGCACACAGAAGGCTGTGGCAGGAAGACTGAGTTCAAAGCCAGCCCAGGCTACACATGGAGGGAGATCCTGCCCCAAAACATCGAGAAGAAGTAAAAGAACCTAGCACTCCACACATTCACTAGCTGTGACTGCTCCAGGCGTCTCATATCCCTGGCCTTACAAAAGCAGAGTCTGTTTTTTGTTGTTGTTGTTGTTGTTGTTGTTGTTGTTGTTTTTTATCGCGGGGATCAAACTTGGGACCTGGGACCTTGCACTCGCGAGGCAGGCAGCAGAACCGGCGGCAGAACCACTGAGCTAAATCCCCGGCTTCCCAGCCCAGCAGAGTCTGTTTGAAGGACTTCTGTTGACGGAGACCTGCCTGGGCCATCCGGCCGACTCAATGCACATGCGCCCCAAGGCCACGCAGCCCCCGCAGCCCCTGTCCTCACCTGGTCTTTCTGGTCATTGACGTGCTGTCGCTCATCATCTATCTGGATGGACAGTTCTTTAACTTTGCGCTCCAGTTTTCGGTTGGTGGACTGCAGGACTGTCTTCTCCCTGGGGGCGAGAAGTAGGGAGACGTTTCTGGCTGTTTCTATCTCTCAGGAAACCTGTACTTGGCCCCTTACTACTCCCAAGGACTTCTCTCTGTCATAAGCCCCATTAATATCCTGGGCAGGATCAAGGAAGAGTCAAAGAGGAAGGAGACAGATCATTCACATCTCGGGGTTTCTGCAGCTCTCTCCGCTCTGTGTCAGGCACAGAGGGCTGGGCATGGTGGTGCACATCTATAGTCCCAGCACTTGAGAGGCTGAGGCAGGAAGATCGCTCCAAGTTTGAGGCCAGCCTGGGCTACCTAGTGAGTTCAAGGCCACACTGAACTACCCAATGAGACACTGTCTCAAAAACACCAGAACAAAAACAAAAGGAAGCAAAGGGTCTCCCTGAAGATCGGAGCAAGTTGGTTAGATCTAAGGTGGAAAATGGAGGGAGCCCCAGAGGACAAAAACCCCAATGAGTGAGGGAGGGCAGGAGGACAGGCTCGTGTCACCTCTCTTCAGCTTGCAGGCGCTCCTGCAACAACTGATTCTGGGACTCGAGCTGAGACAGGCTGGCACTGGGCTTCTGGAAGCCTTCTGAGCTGGCCAGCCGGGTCTTCAGGTCCTTGTTCTGAGAGGGACAGGCAGCTCCACAGTCAGCACTCCACTTGCCACCCTGCCACCCCGAGGTCCTCCCTGAGCTCCCGTCCTGCACCTGTCTCTCCAAGGAGATTTTGTCGCACTCCAGGTCCTGCCGAGCAGATCTCTCCTGCATGAGCTCGGCCCTCAGCTGGTCCACCTAGCGGGGTACAAAGAGGCACTAGCCGTGGGGAGGACAAGGTGGCCCACAGGTGACCCACATGGGCAGAGCCCTGGAGGGCGGTCTCCGACCCCAAACCCCAGGCTCCCAGGCAGGGAAGAAATCCCAGGCCGTTCAGAAGGAAGGAGCCACAGGATGGACACAGGGCTTCTTCTACCCACCGGGAACCAGCAACCCTCCTAAGCCAAAGCGGTCCCACCCAGGGCTAAGCAGCCCAGGCTACGAATCCTTCCTCCATTCTGATTCTTGGCTCCTTTCCATCTGAGGAAACCTGCCGATCCTCCCCAAAGCAGACAAATCCTGCAGCCAGAACTCTCCAGATTAGCGGAGAAGGGCAGGCAGAGGGGGCGCAGTCAGGACAGACACAGTGAGGGTTGGAGATGGAGTTACCTGGTCCCGGCTGCGGCTCACCCGCTCCGTCAGCAGCTCCACGGTGCTCTTCTCTTCGTCTAACTCAGCTTCGAGCCTCGACACCTTTTCCTGCAGCGGAAGGACAAGTGGCCGATGCTGCTCAAATGCTGGACACTGGAAGGCCAAACTCGGACCAGGACTCTCTCAAACTCCAGCCATCACTTTCCTCTCTTGTACCTCCAGGATTCTTTTCGCCCTTGCCCGGGCCCGGAGCCACCAAGGAGCTAGCGCCCTCTGCTGATCAGGTATGGCATTGGGACAAGGTGGGCGTGTGCTCGGGTCAGCACCACAAAGCAAAGCCCAGAAGCCATTTCTAATTACAGAAGGCAATTTTCCTGATAGGAAAATTCAAGTTCTGGACCAAGGCAGAGGAGACTTTGAAACTGAAACTCCAGAGTACAGATGGGGGGTGGGGGTTGAATTCAAACTGACAGGACCAGCTAGAGGTGACAAGGACAGACTCGGGGACCTGTACAGTTTCAATCTAGGTGTCCCCCAAAGCCTCATATGCTCGCAGGAGCAGCTTATGGAGTAACTGGATCATGGGCATGTGGTACCCACCATCGGCTGAGTTTAACTGCGGTGGTGATGTGGGATGCTGGGAGGTGGGTCACAGAGGGTGCCCAGCTAGAAACCTATCCCCCCTCTCCTCCCTTGAGTCTATTTCCTGTTGTCATGCCAAAGGCTTTTTCCCCTCTCCATGCCCCTCAGCCATGCTGCCCTGCCTTGGGGGGACCCAACTAGGGACTAAACCTCTACAACCGTGAGCCCCAGTAAACCTCTCCTCCTTTAATTTATGGGTTCCAGGTACGGTGTCTGAGCAATGAGAAAAGACACTAACACAAAACAGACTGCCTGGGTCTGAAAATCAGGTCTACTACTCCCTAGCAAGACTCATGGGCAAATTACTTAATCTCTCCACGCCTCTGTTTTCCTCTGAGGCACATGTGAAAAATGGAGATGGCCAGGCTTTGCGCGCACACCTGTAATCCCAGCACTCAGGAGGCTGAGGCAGGAGGATCACTAGGAGCTAGGAGACCAGCCCGGGCTACATAGTGAGTTCAAGACCAACCTTAACTATGCAGTGAGAGCCTGTCTCAAAACACAAAAAAATAGAAATAAGAAAATAAGGCAGTCTACCTCACAGGGTTATTCTGAGAGTGAAATAAAGCTTAAGTACCCAGCACACAGCACAATATGTTTGCTGTACTGTTGTTATTATTATTCACAGAGGTAGCAAATTGAAGACTACTCTGAAAGGGAGATGGCAGAGCGCGGCTCCAGCCCACTGCTGTCATGCACAACTCAGGTGTAGAAGACCAGTGTGACATTTTCCAAACACAGTAAGTCCTCCACTTACGAACATTCCAGCTGCAAACTATCACAAGTGTACTAGATAAGACTCACGAACGAATCCGACTTATGAACAATTCTCCTAGGATGGAACTCTTTTGTAAGTCAGGGACTTATCGCATAAAAGAAGCTAGAAATGCAAATTTTTACGTGACATCGCTATGCTTCTAAACGTTGGCATTTCATTCAAAGTTGTTTAAAACAACAAAGCCCAACAAAACGCATTAGCGGTAGGGTACCAGTTTCAACCTGTAGCACAGAAAGGGGGGCTGGGCATGGTGGTACACAGCTGCAACACCAGCACTTTAGGAGGCTGAGGCAGGAGGAATACAAGTTCAAGTCCAGCCTGGGCAACTTAGTAATTTAGCAAGAACCTGTCTCAAAAAATAAAAGGGCTGGGGATGTAGCTCAATGTGAAGTCCCTGCATTCGATCCTGAGAGAAGGAAGAACCCCTGCCGCCCTCCCCCAGAGGCCTGCGTGAGACAGGACCCGGAATCCTGCTCTGGCCTCCTCCCCATGACACCCCATGGCATCCTGACCTCCAGGCTCTTCAGCTGCCTGGTCCTGTCGTCCTGGGAGCGTTTCTTGTTCTCCGCCTCCTGCTCCAGACCCTGCAGTCGCTGGGCCAGCAGCTCTTTGTCCAGCCGGGCAGTGTCCCGCTCCGCCTGGGAGGCCTGCAAGGCCTGCCGCAGCCTCTGGGTCTGCCGGAGGGAAAAGGACGAGCTCAGTGCAGCAGCAGGAGGGGGCTTGAGCGGAGAAATATTTCATCACTCACGTCCTTTAGAAATGCAGCACAGAGCGGGCGTGTTGGCACATGCCTGCACTCTTGGCCTTGGGAGGCTGAGGCAGGAGGATCACCTCGAGTATGAGGCAGCCCGGGCTACACAGTGAGTTCAAGGCCAGCCTGAACTACATAGCAAGAGGCTGATGGCAAAAGACATGCCAGTACAGAGTGATAAGATAAAAACAGACTTTTAGTCTTTTTTTTTTTTAATTATTTTAAAATTCTTTACATGAATTTTAATAACTTGTGGTTTTTGTTTTTGTGTGTGTTTGTATGCGTGTTTTCCTTTGTTTTTTGTTTTTGAGATGAAGTCTTGCTGGGTTGTCCGGGCTGGTCTTGAACTCTTAGGTTCAAGGAATCCTCCTGCTTCAGCTTCCTTAGCAGCTGAGACACAAGCACATGTCACTTTGCCCATTTGAGGATTTTTTAAAAATACTGATCCTGTGTTCCCCCACCCCTAGAAAGTATGATTTAAGTAGTATTTGATACAGTTTAGCCTTTGGGATTTAAAAAGTCATCTCCCCAGGTGCTTCTAATATGCAACAGAGTTGCAAAGCCACTGCCCTACAGACAGGGCACCCTCTGTCTGCACCTGTGGACAGCTCCCCCGCTCTCTCCCACCTCCCTGTGTCACTGCAAGTGGCTGCAACTAGACCTGAGCCCCAGGTTCACTTAGGAGGAAGCATCTGCAAGCCCAAAGACAGGGGCTGGCTCCTACCTCATCCTGAAGGCGGCTCAGCCCCCCTGAGGTCTTCTCTGCCTCATTGGCCCAATCCTTAGCCTGGCGCTGAGCATCTGCCACCTCCCGCCGGGCCTTCTCCTTATAATCTTCCAGCTGGGTCTGGAGCTGCTGCAGGGCTTGCTTTGAGTCGTCCCCAATCTGCTCCAGCTGCAGCACAGACCGCAGAGTTTTCAGTACTGCACCGGTTCAGCTGCTGGGCTGTGCCTCCTCCAGGTCCAGCTCCCAAGCCTCTCCCAAGGGCCCTCTTCCAGCCGAGGCAACTTGATCTTGCTCTTGCCTGGGCCCGAGCACTAGTTTATGGCCAGTGGTTATATGCAGATACCTGGGTTCAAATCCCAGCTCTACCCCTTAGTACTAGTGATCGAAGGCAAGTTACTTATCCTCTGTGGTCTCAGTTCCCCATCTTTGACACGGGGAGGTAACAGTACCACCACTGCAAGTTGTTTGGAGAACTTAGTTAGGTATATAAAGTGGAACAGTGCCTGCCACAAAGCAAACCTCCAACAACCACATTTCAGCAGAGACAAGGTGCCAATGACTCTAAGACGTACTACAAGAAAGAAGGCTCTGCTGACTGAACTACGAGATGCTATGAACAATAAACACAACCCCATTTCAGAAATGATATCGTGCAATTTTTTAAAAGTGACAAATGACAGAATGTACACGTTAGAATTGATGTCATACATTACGTGTTTAGTTTGTTTTGCAGAGTAAGATATCGGGAGAGAACCTTACCAGCGAAAAAGCTATTTCCTCGTCTCCCTTTTTCTTTCCCCTCCTCCCAGCTTAAAGCTGTACTGAGGAGGAAGTGAGCTCTGGCCCGGGACCACCGTACCCACCTCCTGGTTCAGTCGCTCCACGGTCCTGTCCAGCAAGCGCTTCTGCTCCTCCAGCTCCGCCTTGCTCCGCCGCAGCGCCTCCCGCTGCTTGCCCTCCTCCTGCAGCGCCCGGTTCAGGGCCTGCTGCTCCTGGCCCAGGCGCGCCAGCCCCCGCTGGGCCTCCTCGAGACGAACCTCCAGGGCCCGTTTGGTGGCTGCCAGGCTCCCCTCCTCCTCCTGTGCTTCATTCAGCGCCTCCTGGAGCCGCTGTTTCTCTGCCTGGGAGCGGGGAGAGATGGTGGTGTTGGTCTGGCAAGAGCCACGGCTTGGGCTCCCTTCAAGGAAGGTGGGTAGGCGGCGGAGGAAAAGCAGGTATTTATGGAAAAAAATGTACAGTGGAAACAGGCTCGAGAGGAAGCCCCAAGGAGATCGAGACACAGTGCAAGAAGAGGGAGAGAGGAGACAAAAACACCAGGGCGGAAGTCTGAAACATTCACACCAGATTACACCCCCGGGGATAAAAGCAAGGTCAACGGAGGACCTGGGAAGGCGAACTGGAAGCACACAGCTCCCAAGAGAAAACCCGGTGGTATTTAGGGAGGGAGGGCTTGGCCAGGGCGGAGGGCCCAAGGGCCGGGAGGAAGCGACACCAACGCCGGGGCGGGGGAGGGGGCGGCA